GAATACTAGAAATAACTTTAGTCAAAATACTTAGGAGATAAGATAGATTTAGCCATTTGATTGTGCTTTTATTTACCACGAATACCTTAAATTGACCAGATGTGAAATTTAAAACATTTATAATGCTACAAAAAATCTAAACTAAAAAATTTTGTTATTTAGAAAATTTGTATTCCTGAAGGTTTTTTAAAAAATCCTTATGATTTCCATAAAAGATAGTTCACCCGAAAATGAACATTTACTCACCCTCATGTGGCTCCAACCCTTTATGAGTTAATTGTATAAATATTATGTAGAACAGGAATACAAAGAAGATATCTTGAAGAAAGCTAAAAAATCTGTAACCATCGCGTTCCATAGTAGGAAAAAAAAATATTATGGAAGTCAATGGTTACAGGTTTTCAACTTAAAAAAAGAAAAAAAACTGTTTATCAGATAAATAAAAAAAAGTAGTTTAAAACATGTAGAGAGTAAATAATGACAGAATTTTCACTTTTTGGTGAACTATCCCTTTAAGCAGCAAAATAGTTTAAATATTATTATTATTATTATTATTATTATTAATACAGTATGTTTATTGCTTATTAATTTCCAAATTAGTGTTTTGGTATATTGTAAGTTTTTTTTTGTTGTTGTTGTTCTTATATGTTATGCTATTTAATATAACAACTATAAATTTACACAACCTTTTGGGTTGATTTTTCCTTTTCTTTCAAATGTTAAAGCACAAAGCTTCTATTCTGTCAGATTTGCATCTAAAACATTGAAGAAACAACATTATTATGTTCCTTTAATTCACAAGCTCAACAGTGGAATACAAATTATAAAATGTAAATGTTCAGTTTGTTTGATAAGGTCTCAATATATAATCGTGAGCTTCAAGTATTAATTTTATGTATTTGTTTTTTCGGATTCCTTAAGTGCAGACAGCTGTGTAAATCACCAAGGCTTTAGCTTAAAATCATTATTAGGTTTGACTAAAGAAAAATCACCAACATCTTGGATGGCTTGAGGAGTAAATTAACAGCACGTGTCCAGTACTATTTTAAACCTTGTATATACATAAATAATAATTTCCTATTCCGAAGCCGTTCTTCTGTGATGCTTTTCCTAGATAATCCAAACAATCTATAAAGCCCGACTCAAAGTGTCATCTCAGAACTAACAGTGGAAAGCCTTGTGCCAAATCACTCGAAATACTCTCTAAAACTCTTCTTATCAGAGTGATTCAGGCCTGGACTCCGAGCTGCTCTCCTGTGGTGTTTTGGAGGTGTCAGGTGCTGTGGAAAGATAAGCCAACGCTGACTGCTGCTGACTGTGGCTTTTGTGTCAGAGCTGATCTTGATAATATTATCTTAACCTTTTCCTTTAAAAAAAGTGGGGTGGGTCTTTGCAGCGCTGTAATTTTTTTTTCGCCCTTGAGAAATGAGGACGACAAATATCTGCTTTGATGGCTGGAAAAAAACACGGAATGGAAAAGACACATGCAGGAGTCAAAGAATATCATCCACTACCTGAAATTAGCAAAAGCGGGAGTGAGGGTGGATCTGACAGGACAGTTTATACCTGGCAAACACATTTTATTCCCCTTATAATAGTTTTAGGTTCTTGTTTGGTTATTTTTTTTTAATTTAAGCATGTTGAACATTCTTTTTGGGGTTTTATTTTTACATAAAATAACGTTCCCGGAACGTTGAGGAGTGATTATGTTTAAATGACCTCAAAATAACATTTACTAAACATTTCCTCATGGTTACTTTTAGGTTATTAATTTGCAAATGTGAAATAATATTCCCAGAATGTTGTATGGTAGCTTGTTTAATAATAACTATAGGGCCAGACAAAATCTGCAGACATTTTGTGCTATTTCTGTGCAGAATTTGGTAAAAAAAAAAAAAAAAAAAACTGCAGATTTATGCAGAATGATTTTGCATGAGATTACCGTAACTAAAACCTTCATATAAAAATATTGTTTAAAACCTTTATTTTCAATGTTTATAATGCAAATACAATTAGCTCCACTTATTTGGTTAACAAAGCAAGATTCTTATATGTTATGCAGTATCTACTAAAAGACAGAAAATTTTTCATATTATTTAATAATAATATGGAAATTAATTAAAAAAACTGAATAAATAAGAATTTACACACATTTGTCTCGATGATGGGCTAAAAATCTGCGGATATCAGCAGATTTCTGTCTGCGCAGATTCTGTGTAAGCCTTATAATAACTTGTCCAAAATGTTCCATCATGGTTATTTTAATGTTATTTTGCAATCCTACAATAACCTTATCAGAACATTTCCACAGGTTTCTCTAATGTATGTGTGTGTGTGTGTGTGTGTGTGTGTGTGTGTGTGTGTGTGTGTGTGTGTGTGTGTGCGTGTGTGCGTGTGTGCGTGTGCGTGTGGTGTTATAAAAGAAACTAACTTTTCATAACTTTTAAACTACATTTTGGAAAAACTGTAATTAGTTGGCACAGAATTTAATAAAATAAAAAAATTGTCAAAATGTGTAATAATCACAGGTAAATACTGTATAAGTATAAACAATGATAACTCCAACATGCTTCCACACACCTGCCATGAAGTTTTTAGTAAGAGCTTGTTTAGCTGGTTCAGGTGTGTTTGATTAGGGTTGGAACTACACTCTCCAGGACACTGGCCCTCCGAGTTTGGACACTCCTGCCCTAGACTATGCTGAAGTCATTGTTATTCAGAGCTGAGGAAATATAAAATCAAGGGTACACCGTGAAATCTAGTAAATCTCGTGCATTAATGACCAAAGGTCTTATTTAATCTTCTATGTGATGGTGCTCAGGACAGTTCAATATGACCACTACATCATGTGTGGCGGCGCCGCAGATTTTTATATATTCAATCAAATGAACTTAAACGATTAAAAACAGCAACAAATATTTAGGCCTGAACTACAAAACCAAACTTAAAAACTATTTTAGTATTAGTTATGCTTACTAAGTTGCACACTAGTTTGATCATATATGAACATCATTATAACTATATTATAAAAATATTATTCTAATTAAAATTTGTAAAATAAAGACTTGCAGGTCAAGGGAACAGCAGAGGAAGTTGCCGTGGGCCTTGGTGCAGATGAAAAGTAAAAAGATAGTAAGACAGAGATAAATTGACGCAGCTGGTGTGAAAGACAAATGCCCGTGCGCGATTTCTGCTCTCCATATGGGCTGCGCAACCACTGCTCACTCTGCTCGCACTTGCGGTGTGAGACGGGTACGGAATTAAGAAAATGTTTTTAGGCATAACAGAAGTGCCCGCCAGGGGGCACAAAGAGACAAGATGCGAATGAACAGAAATATACAGTAGCTGTAAATATCCTGCTACTTGTTAATGAAGATGAAATAATGAAACAAAGCATTTTAATTCCTTCATAAATCAATAAAAACTTGTTAACAAGCTGTAGCTATAAATACACCGAGAACTTTTAAACAAATGTTACCGTAAGTCATATAATTAAACCATATTAGCAAATAGAGTTAATAAATAAAACTTCTGTTAAAACTTTTATTGAAATGGATTGTTGGTGATTTGGTAGCTTTACATGGACATAGATAAGCTAAGACCTGTTGATTTAAATTGTTTAAGACCTACAACACAATAGTTCAGTGATTTTAAGAATTTTAAGACCCCACGGACAATCCTATTGCTTCATAATAATAAGATATTATAATACCATTAAATTAATATTAGGATAACATTCTACAAACCAAAAACTAAAATAAATAAAACTTTCCCGCCTAACTGAAAACAAACCTAAAAAAGAATTTTCTGCTATCCAAAAATTGTTAGCAGAGCAGCAACTGGTAATGTTTTTGATGGACTATAATGGCATTTCTTGCAAATAGACCAATGCAAAAGCAAAGGTGGAGTCTGATGAAGCAAAACAAACCATGACGCTGCTTTAGTGTAAAAGTGTCCAGCACCTGAGCTTACAGATGCCCGCTCTCACAGTCAAATGAGCAATTCAGCTCTTGTGTAAATCTAATCAGTCTTCCACAGCGAGCAGCAGACGTGCTTAATTGATTCCAGAAGCGGTGCCTTTGCGTAAAGCTGTGATGGTGAGAAGTGGAAGGGATGGAGAGAGGTGGTGCGCTAATGAAAGGTCAGCCGAGATGCACGGCCCACGCTGCAAGTGCCAGAAACACACACAGCAATTTTATGGTCAATTGGGCCATGCATCTGGAGTCATACATCACTGAGGCGTACGACGAGACCCAGTGCCAGATCTCAAAAACACACACACATACAGTTAAAGTCAGAATTATTAGCCCCACCTGAATTATTAGCCCCCTATTTATTTTTTTCCCCAATTTCTGATTAACAGAGAGAAGATTTTTCAACACATTTCTAAACATAATAGTTTTAATAACTCATTTCTAATAACTGATTTATTTTATCTTTGCCATGATGACAGTAAATATTATTTAGCTAAATATTTTTCAAGATACTAGTATTCAGCTTAAAATGACATTTAAATGCTTAACTAGGTTAATTAGGCAAGTTAGTGTAATTAGGCAAGGGGGCTTATAATTTTGACCAAAAAATGGTAATTAAAAAAAATTAAAAATGCTTTTATTCTAGCTGAAATAAAACAAATAAGACTTTCTCCAGAAGAAAATATATTATAGGAAATATTGTGCAAAATCCATTGCTCTGTTAAACATCATTTGGGAAATATAAAAAAAAGAAACAAAAAAGAGGGCTAATATTTTTGACTTCAACTGTACATCCACACACACTAAACATGCATGCAGTTAATATTTATACACAAGTGTATGCTGTGATTCCAGCATACTAATCTGAGTGGAGAACCTAAATGCTAGCAAATCATTATTTTAAAAAAGGATGGTGTAGAACTTGATCATGTTTTGAGAAAGATCCATAAAACATCTTGTGCTTCAGTGGAAGCTGAAGTTCTGTAATGGAGACTGTGGTAATGTGCATGTGTCAGTCAAACTCACCTCCATTGGAAAAGCCAAAGCAGGCAACAGGGGCTTGATGTAACCAAACCGATGGAGGAGCATTATCAAAACACATCTCAGCATCTCCAGTTCGGCTGCATTAGACCTGAAAGAAAGGCACAATTATATATACAGTGCTCAGCATAATTGAGTACATCCCATTTTGAAATTAATATTTTTATCCATTACTCAGGAAATATAGGCAATGTTCATTCTTTCATTTTCTTACTAATCTGGGGTCGCCACAGCGGAATGAACCGCCAACTTATCCAGCATATGTTTTATGGATGCCCTTACATGCAAACTCCACACAGAAACGGCAACTGACCCAGCCAAGGCTCAAACCAGTGATATTCTTGCTGTGAGGCGACAGCACTACCACCGAGTCACCAATATAGGCAATGTATTTTAGTGAATTTAAACGAAACAGATTTATTAAACGTATATTTATTCAACGTATATTTTAGTCACCAAACATATTTAGAAATTAAAAGATAATGCAATTAAATTCAAGCAAAATTTAGCAAAATAAATTGCAACCTACAAAATTTCAACAAAATCTTTCTTTTTTTTCTTCTCTTGATTTTTCCCTTTGTTTTTACATTTGTAGTTCATATTTTTCTATAACATATGAATGTGGCCGTACTAGTTTTAGACCGTTATCGTAAGTTATTTTGTTAAATAAGCTCCAGATTTGACTTCAGTACTGACAATTCTAATGTATATGCACAAATATAATATTGTATAGCGTCGTATTAAAAGTATGAATTTAAGAGAGATTTTTGAGGGGTGTCCTTGTATATAATGCGCACTGTATTCATTAGTAGTTTATGCATTTTTTAATCTATTAGTCATTTTAATCAAAAAGTTGCTTTGGGTTCAATAAAATTTAAATAAAATAATGTAAAATTCAAAATTAAAAAACAAACAAAATACAATAAAAATACAAAACAATAAAATAGATAAAATAAAGAAAATGAATATAATCAAACAAATCCAACAAACAATCAAAATAAGTATAATAATAATTATAGTTATAAAATAAAATTATTAAAGTGTGCTTCTGAAATAATTTTAATATGCTGATTCAGTGCTCAAGACAAAGTTCTTATCATAAATGTTGAAATAAAACAAATAAGATTTAAACAAATGTGTGTAAAAAATGTGTATATGATGTTTATAAGTTAAACAGTTATTGCACTAAAAATGAGGGGAAAAAACCTATTTAAACAAAATTCATTTGTGTATGCATGTACATGTGTGTGTGTGTGTGCGTGCAAGTAAGGGAGAGATTTGTATACATTAAAAGGAATTCATAAAATACAATTCAATTTATTAATAACATATATAATAAATAAATAAATAAATAAATAAATAAATAAATAAATAAATAAATAAATAAATAAATAAATTAACCATACCTCTGATCAATCAGGAAGCCCAGAGAGGTCAGAGAAAGCAGTACGTATGCAGTCAAGAGAATAACAGTCAATTCAGAAAGTATCTGCAGACAAGAGACACACGTATGAGACTATACTGTGTAGATTATGCACTGTAAAAAATGCAGGGTCCTACATACAGTAAATAATTTATGTTGACCCAACACAAATCAATTAAGTTAACTTGACACTTTTAACAAATTTATGTGGATTAAACATGAAAAATTAAGTTGTCCCAATTAAACCTCAAGAATTGTGTTGTTTCAGCTCATTTTTAATTACGTTTTTTAAACAAGCAAAAAAAAAAAAAAAAAAAAAAAAAAAAATATATATATATATATATATATATATATATATATATATATATATATATATATATATATATATATTTGAGTGTATATACAGTGTTGTTCCTCTTAATTCTTAGACAAATTCCCCAGGTTTGAGAAAGAAACACTGACTTTGTACTTTTATAACAATTTTGGATTTGATTTGGAAATATACCCATGTCTTACAGATCCAAGACTAACCATTAAAGTATCATCAGTTTGCCTGAATTGGCACACCTCTATAGATGGATTTACACTGAAATCATAACCTAGGGATAATTTTCTGTTAATACAAGGAACGATGTTAATGAGTTTTCTTGACCTTCTAACCCACTAAACTCAGCACTGGTTAAGTCAGGTGAGTGACCTCATAACGTCTTTGATATGACACCAGCGAACAATTATCAACTCTTTCCTTCACGACACCAGACAGAAACCAGACCCCAGAGCTCAACCCTGAAGCACTGGCTCATTTTTCAAAAATTAAGGAAAAAATCTATTTTGAGTGGCTAATTTTTAAACCCTTTCCATATCCAGTTTCAACAATAACAGAGCAAGAGGGCAGAGGAGGAAAAATAAAAAGAGGAAAACCATCTTCCAATTTGTATTTCAGCACAGATGACGTCACTGAAGGATTGACACTGTCTTGGTGTTTTCTGTCTTTCTGACCTAATGTTAAGCAGCGCTGTTGAATCGCTCACCAATGCAACAATTACATTATCTTATTTATTCATGCACTGTTTTTGTTTCTTCTGTTCAACACAAAAGAAGATATTATGAAGAAAGTTGGAATTTTGCAACCATTTACTTTCATAGTAGGAAGAACAAATACAAGTCAATGGTTACATGCATCCAGCTTTCTTCAAACTATCTTCTTTTGTATTACACACAAGAAAGAAATAATGCAGGTTTTGATCAAGTAAAGGGTGAGTAAATGATGACATAATTTTTGGGTTTTGGGTGAACTATCTCTTTAACTGAGCAAAGAGGTAGAATTTTCCTCTGGATTAGAGTACTACTGCATGGACATACTGCATTGTGTTTCGGCTAGTAACAAGTTATATAACCAAATCTCATTTCTTTGACAACCACATTGGAAGACACATTCTGTGGATGGGGAAAAGATGTTAATTCATTTAGTCATTTAGCAGATGCTTTTAAAGTGACTTACAATTGAGAAGACATTCATCAATTTATTAAGAGGCCACACACTCAAGAAGTGCTAACTATGCAAATGAACTGTCAGTGTTCGAGAGAGTAAGGGGAAATGTTTTTTTTTTTTTAGAGAGAGAAAGAGAAGAATGCTTCTACAGGTTGTTAAGCCCATTCACCTGTGTGAAGCTTACTTCATAAATGCATAGCGTATGTTTTATATGCTTCAGAAGGGTCAAATTAGTGGCATACATCAAGCAAAGACAACATCTAAGGAGATTGCTGAATCTTCTAGAAATGGGTTAAGAACTGTCCAACACATTATTGCACACTGGAAAAATATTGGGGAACCATCATCTTTGAGGAAGAAATGTGGTCTTGAATGAACAAGTTTAGTGATCACTTACAGACGTCATGAAATTAAAATATTTGTTTTAAACGCTGCTAGTCCGTTTGCACTGGCTGCCAGTTGCTGCTCGCATCAAATTCAAAACTCTGATGTTTGCCTACAAAGTGACTTCTGGCCTAGCACCTTCTTATCTGCACTCACTTCTGCAGATCTATGTGCCCTCCAGAAACTTGCGTTCTGTGTATGAACGTCGCCTCGTGGTTCCATCCCAAAGAGGGAAAAAATCACTTTCGCGAACGCTCACGCTCAATCTGCCCAGTTGGTGGAATGAACTCCCTAACTGCATCAGAACAGCAGAGTCACTCGCTATTTTCAAGAAACGACTAAAAACTCAACTATTTAGTCTCCACTTCACTTCCTAATCTGCAATTGCCTCTTTGAATATCACACTAACTGTACAAAAAAAAAAAAAAAAAAAAAAAAAACTACTAATACTTCCCTTCTTAGACTTTACAGACCTGAAACTTGCCTTTAGTACTTATTCATTGTTGCTCTTAGTTGTGTAAATTGCTTCCTTGTCCTCATTTGTGAGTCGCTTTGGATAAAAGGGTCTGCTAAATGACTAAATGTAAATGTAAATGTAAATGAATCAATATGCTAGTTTTAAGGATATCTATAAGACTGACTGCATCCAAAATCGCATTTCAACATGCAGGGGTCCGTTCTTCGTACGTAGATTACTCAGTTAGCTGGATTTGGATATCGACGATTTGACACAATCCAGGATCGTTTCGTTCTTCAAAGCTGATCCGAGAGTTGTAGTCATAGCAACAGTTCTGCTAGGTCAAACCTGATCGGGAGCAGGTTCAATTCATATAAACAGGATTAGATTGGCTTAGTTCAAGCAAAGATAATACAGAAAGTATGTTCCGAATTCTGATATTTTCTTACAGCAGTAGTTATATACAATTGGGAAAATGGTGCATATTTTTAAACTATATATAAAGTTATAGTCATTAATAAAATAAATTAAGTTATACATATTAATAAAACGTATGCAATCTGCACCCTGGAAATGAAAGTACAAAGACTGCCACCTGGTGGTGCAAAGAGAAAACTTATTGATATGAACTTTTTAGATCGCATTAGTACAAATTGTGTATAATAGAAATGCACAATATGTGACTTTTTTTAAAGCAATAATACATTTATGCAGTCATAAACATGTTTTGATAGTTAATATGCCAGTGATTTGATGCTTCACAAAAGTTGCAGACACCTTTACCAATACGAAAATGCTTTTGTAAACAACCAGTTATTCTTTACACCGATTAAAAAACGGCTACTATAATGAAAATATTTTCTAAATATAGAACTAAATACATTGATTTGCATTGAAATACATGATGAAAGTGTAAAGCCTGCAGCTCACAACAAATATTGAATGTTATTGAGTGTCATATTTAACAAACCGTTTACTGCTAATTTGATGTAATTTTGCTCACATGGATAATTGAATATTAATCAGATGATGTCATTACGCTACTGTGCCGTCAGCCAATCGTTGCATTGCTGATCATGATTTCGAGGATCTATAGATCTGTCCTTCACAACACACGCAGCGATCTCAGATCAGTTTATCCAGACATTCTAATCTGATTCGCAAACTCGTTTGAAGAACCAAATTAGTGAGAGATCAGTTATCAAGATTAAAAGATCCAGGATCTGCCAAATCATCTTAGATCATTTAAGCGAGGTACGAAGAACGGACCCCTGAATGCAAAGGGAATTCAAGGGATTGTAAATAAACACATGTACAGCCACTAATCAGTGAGGCTAAACAGAAAAAAAGGCTTCAATTTGCTATAGAGCATAATGATTATATTCTGTAGCAATGGAAGAAGGTCATGTGGTCTGATGAGTCGAGATTTACCCTGTTCTAGAGTGATGGCGTATCAGGGTCAGAAGAGAAGCATAATTAAATAATTACCCATCATGCCTAGTGTAGATCACCAAAGCCTGTGGGGGCAGTGCTGTGATCTGGGTATGCTGCAGTTGGCCAGGTGTATTTTCAGCAATGTTTTATACTAAATGACCAGGTTATTCCATCAATGAATTCTTTTTATTCCCTAATGGCACAGGTCAACTCCAGGATGATGATGATGTTGGCTTAAATTTTGATGAGTGATTCAGAAAACAAAACGGATAATTTGACACATGGATTGGCCACAACACACCAGACCTTAACCCTAAGACAATCTTTGGGATGTGCTGGAGAAGACTTTGCACAGTAACTTCAATCATAAATAAAATAATATAAATGTACTACGCACATCGTACATTGTTTTTTGTATAATATGTGGGTTATAAAGTGGTCTATTTATTGAATACCTAAATTAATTTTGTACTGTTCCATTATTTTTTCTATTTGTACTGTTATTTGCTCTTTCACACTTGATTGTTTAACTGTCATAAAAATGTTACAAAAAAAGAATGAGGTCAGCTGACTAAAGAAACTGAATATACTGAAAGACCCGATTATTTAATCAATGGATTTTTTCTTCTTCCCTGATAACACGGGTCTAATCCAGGATGACGATGCTGGCTTAAATTGTGAACGAATGATTCAGTGAGAATGAGGCATCATTTTTACACATAAATTGGCCACAACAGAGTCCAGATCTTAACCCTTATACCTTATTTTTACATTATTTATTCACAAGTCTGAAGGCCTTAGTATTTTCCTTGGAAAACGTGATTGACGCAAAAAGAAGCTTTTCTTGGTGCTGAGCATTTCTATTGATCCTGGACCACCAACCAAATGTTTTATTGGATGGTGGAGAAAAAAATAAGAGATCCAGGAGACACTTCTCAACTAAGGGAGCACCACAGAGGTAGGAATCACAGGAAAACAGCCCGTTTCACTTCAGCAGGGACGCAGGGTGGAGCTGTGCATTCTGGCTAACCAAAAGTATGCCTGGGCATCATGTACTTCCAAGGATAACGGACAAGGGCAACTGAACATCCCTGTGTTTTTAAGCAGGGGGGGTTGAAAAATAATAAACAAAGCTTACTTCAAAGTATTCAGCGTGGACTCCCTAAAAGGCTTTATTATTAGAGGACTATTTAGGATAATGAGAGAGAGAGAGAGAGAGACTGAGGTTGATAATAGGCCTTGTGAGGTAGCATTAACCACATAGCAAATTAATAGCCTTTCAAAGATAGTCTCTATGACTATATATCAGTGAAAGATGGCATACAGATGATAGCTTTGACATTTTCAGTGGGGAAGATTTCTGGGAAAATGTGATTTCAGTTTTAATGATGAAAAAAAAAATCAACAACAAAACAAACAGAAAGGGTACCTACCATCTGATCCAATAACAAGCTGTTATATACATCCAGCAGAAGAAAGAACTGTAGAATCACATAGGCTTGCATCACAGGGGACCATGCTGGATCGTGGGGTTTTTCCTCTCCTGTAATCTGGTTGGAGAAAGATTTTGCATAAATCTTTTGCACTGTAGATGTGTTAAGTCATCATATCTAATGTGAATCACAAACATCAGCTTGACCATTGTAAACACTAGATTAATCTGTTTGTTTTTTTTCTACAGAAATTGAATGGTTCTACATTGTAGGTGTAGATTGTTTTTACTTGGTGTCTAGTTCTTCTGGGTTAGTTAATTAAAGCCATTATTTGGTTAAAGATGTTTAAAATTGTAGATCTGAACTTGTACATGTAGGTTCAAACCCAACTGGACTCATTCAAGGAGATGCTGCACACTGGTGGTGGTGTGGAGAGACCCCCCTCTTGATTGTGAAGTGCTTTGGGTGTATGGCCATACACAATAAATGCGTTATATAATTACACATTACTTACTTGCTAAAGCTAGTACAATAACTTTTGCTGTGAGGACAACAACGACTTTTTCCAATTTGAGTTTTCAATGGTAAGTTGTTTTGCATGGTTCTTAGCTGTTGCAGTTAGTTAATTAGAATTGTCGATCTAGCTTCTTCTACACTCAGACACATTCATATGTTATGCTTTAAACTGTATAAAAATTAGGGATGCAACAATTATAGATTTTGGTTGTACGGTTTTAGTCTAAAGAATAATCATGGCTTCACAGTTATCACCATTAGTAAGCATTTCTTAAATTCAAAACACTTCTGGTTTAGAAAATCACAAGAAAACTGCTTATACAGTATTTTAAAGTGTTATTTATGGCTGCTCAGTAACCAAATACAGCACAAAATATTAATGAAAAACAGAAAATAATCTATTTTTCTCTTTGGACTTAAAAATAAATGAAAATATTTTTTATTTAAACATGAGTGATAATTTTACAATGAAAATAAATGACAGAACAATGAAAAAATAAATAAAAAGAATAAATAAAAAATTGTATTTGTACAATGTTAATTTAAGCTATATATTAGCTAAGAACTTAAATGAACTGTTGTTATTATCTGCGTTCATACATAATCATTTTAATGATTTGTAATAATTCGTCTAACATTTCTTTTGTTTGCACTGCACCAGAAACTACACACAACTCTCACCACTCCCAATATGTGCACGTCTCCATTGGAAATAACAAACTTGCGTGTTTAAAGACACAATATGTGAACTGCCTGCTGCTACAGTTAATCCAGTGTGCGTGCATATTGGCATAACTTTGTTTAGTTGCAGCAGTTTTGTTCTATGCAACAGAAACACGGCATTGAAAAGCCTTTACGAATAATTAATAGTAATAAATTAAAGCACGGTTAATAGTGAAATCGACTAACCATTGCATCCCTAATAATGATATCAGTGCATTGTACAAAAGGCCTTTTCTAGAAACATATCTAAATGTTTTTTGCTGCTCGCACCACTCGCTTAATGTCAGGTGACTCACTCTCTGTGCAGCCTTCAATTGCAGCTCATGCTGTATTGAACAGACACACTTCACTTCATAACTATAGCGGACGTTTTTCGCCTGAACTAAACTTATTTTTGATGTCTTGGTCACACTATTTGGAGGGTCAGAACAAATTGCCTCAGGGGCTGGGTTCGACCCGCAGGCCGCCAATTGAATAGTCTCGAAGTTGATTATTGAATCCGGTCCAAGATGACCTAAATAAGAGGTGTTAAACTCAGTTCCTGGAAGGCTGCAGCCTTGCACAGTTTAGTTCCAACCCTGCTCTGACACACTTAAGCTGCGGTCACACTGGAGTTAGAGTGTGCGAAATTCTGTAGTATGTTGCTACGAAAAGGAGCGGAATTAAATGATGATTAAATGAATTAGATGATTAGACATTTAAAAAAAGAGAGCGATTGGTCCATATTTTAAATTCCTGTCCAGAGAGGTCATGTTTTGATCTTTGATTGGTCTCACGCAGTCAAGTGATGCGACTTCGCAAGTCAGAGTTCACCAAGTTTAACCTTTGCACACTGCGAAACTTGTCGCACAATTTTGCGTTTCCGGTCTGACGCATTTGCATGCGTATGAATGGAAGTCTATGGGGAGAAAATTCCAGTGTGACTGCAGCTTTACCTGTAAGTTTCAAACAAGCCTAAAGGACTCAGTTTGATCAGGTATGTTTAATTAGGTTTGGAACTAAAGCCACGGTGACAGTTGAGTTTGAGTTAGCAAAATTCTGTCATATGGAGCTGCAAAAAGGGGCAGAATTAAACAAGATGATTAGATGTTTATAAAGCAAGCGGTTGCTTCATATTTTACATTTGTGTACAGAGATGTCATGTTTTGATCTTCTAATGGTCTCACACAGTCACATAATGTGATTTTGCATGTCAGAGTTCACCAAGCTTGAATTTTCGAATGCAACATGCAAAACTTCTCACGAGCTTGCGTTTCCGGTCTGTCACACTCACATGTGTATGAATGAAAGTCTATGGGACAAAAAGTGCAGTGTGACTGCGGCTTAAACTGTGCAAAGCTGCCTCCTTCCAGGAACTGAGTTTGACACCCCTGATCTACATTGACGATTGAGTATGAATTTCAACTTGGAGCATTTTAAACCAGCAAAAAAAAAAAAAAATGTAACTGTGGCGAGTGTTCCAATGCAGCGTCGCCACAAGTACAAACCACCAACACCTGTCACCTCATCAGCACCAATCGCCACCTGCAGCTCATTAAGACTGGAGCATATAAACAGAGAAAGAGAAGACACAGGGTGAGCTTGATCTCTCCGAGAAGACACGCTAATGCTCCTTTCTCTGTTTTCCCCAGCAGATAGCAGTGGCTAGACCGGCACCTCAGACTGTTTTCAACCATCCAAACCTTCATCAGCACTGAAGACTTTCCACATTACCCGGCCAAAGGACGCATACCTGCACAGCTACCCTACCCTCACCTCCTTACCTTGCACTGTAAATAAATCACCCTCTGGGTCGTTACACCATTTCTGTTTGAATGTTCATGTTTTATCCCTCGTCTCGCCACAACTGGTGGAGAATGCGGGCAGATTGAGTGGATAAAACCCCACATCTGGTAACATTGAATTATTTATTTTTTATTTATTTTTTTTTTTAGGCGAGCGGCTGCTCTCTCTCTCTATTCCCTCAAAACGGTGTGGAGGAATACACCCCTCTGTGACAAAATGGAGGATATCATGCGTCGTCTCTCTGAGATAACCACACGACAACAACTGTTCACCGAACAGCTCTCCGTCAGACAACAGAGAATCGAAGAGCGCCTGTTCCAGATGGCTGAACACCTCCCACTCCCAGAGGCACGCGCCTCCGCTCACCGCCATTTGACAAAGCTCGGTGACCTGGATGATATTGATGCATATCTGCATACGTTTGAGGTCATCGCAAAGAGAGAAGAGTGGCCCGAATCCGAGTGGGCTCAAATCCTGGCCCCCTTCTTAACCGGAGAGTCACAGCGGGCGTACTTCTCGTTGGATTCCCCCCAAAATGAAGATTATACTGTACTAAAAGGAGAGATCCTGGCACGTGTGGGGTTATCGCCGGTGAGAGCAGCGCAACAGTTCGCTACATGGGCGTATGAGGAGGGTGCCCCAGTACGGGCGCAGGCAGCTCAACTCAGCAAGCTTGCCCGCTTATGGCTCCTCGGGGGATCCCCAACCGCCACCCAGGTTGCCGAGAAAGTCGTCATTGAGAGATTGCTGCGTGCTCTTCCTAGAAGACTCCGGGGGCCTGTAAGCATGAGGAACCCTGCAAGTTTGGCAGCTTTAGTGGAGGCGGTGGAGTTGGCAGAGGCCACACTGACCCGGGACATTATAGAGAGAGCAGCCGTTCCCTCCCGGAGGGTGAATTCACCATGGCGGCAGGTGGAGAGTGCCTCACGGCCCGTCAGCAGACCGGCTGTCCCGAGTCCGGCGGATGAGCCCATGCCCACTGAACCAGTGAACTCCACTGCACGTGCCTGGTTGGCTGGCTGCATCGTTCACCGGACCCTACCATCAGGTGCTCCGTCTCGCAGAGTGAAGCTTGAGGGGAAAACTATCACGGCTGTATTGGATACTGGGAGCTCCGTGACGCTGGTACAGCCAGGTTTGATCAAGCCTCGAGTGGGATCTAAAGCCACAATCCCAATAACCTGTGTGCATGGTGACACACGCTACGTCCCCGCACAGCGGGTAACGATTGCAGCCGGCAACGGCGCATGGCCCCTGGAAGTGGGCATTGTAGCTGATCTCCCCGTCCCCCTTTTGCTTGGCCGGGATTGGCCAGGGTTTGAGGAGTTATTGTCTTTGCCAGCAGCAACCCCCTTCCAGACACGTCGCCGCCCCCGGGCTCGGACTCAACGGGTCCGCCAACCAGCTCTCCTGGCCACAGAGAGCGACCGAGGGGGTGAGTGTTCGAATCAGTCTTCTAATGTCTTTATGGATTTGTTCCAACAGGTCTCTAGGGGAGGTTCCTTCGGACAAGCCCAGCGTGAAGATGACACACTTAGAAACTGCTGGTCCCAAGTTCGAGTAGTGGAGGGCCAGGAAAGGCTCCCTGCTCCTCACCCCCTCCCACACTTTATCATCCAGAATGGTCTGCTGTACTGTGTTGCTGAGCGACGGGAAGAGAGGAGGACATTGCTGGTGGTACCAAAAAGCAAAACGTCCACCATCCTGGAGCTCGCCCACACTCACCCAATGGCGGGTCACTTAGGGGCAGCCAACACGATTCAGCGCATTCGGGACCGATTCCACTGGCCGGGGCTAAATGGTGAGGTCAAGAGATACTGCCAGGCATGCCCGACGTGCCAGAAAACTGCTCCCCAACGTCCCCCCCCCCCAGTCCCCTGATCCCGTTACCCATCATTGAGGTACCCTTCGACCGCATTGGTCTGGACCTGATAGGGCCCTTGCCAAAATCCTCCCGAGGCCACGAACACATCCTGGTCATCCTAGACTATGCCACCCGATACCCTGAGGCCATACCCCTACGCAAGGCCACCTCCAACGCCATTGCCAAAGAACTCTTCCTGCTGTGTAGCCGGGTGGGCATCCCCTCAGAG